CCCCCCCCCCCCCCCCCCCCCCCCCCCCCCCCCCCCCCCCCCCCCCCCCCCCCCCCCCCCCCCCCCCCCCCCCCCCCCCCCCCCCCCCCCCCCCCCCCCCCCGGTGATGTCAAGGCAAATATGGCAGTATGGGCAGGTCAAGAAAGACATTCAATCATAGGAACGAGGCTGACCTTCATTTCAACCAATTCAAACCAGCCAGGTAAGGGGAGACAATGATCATGACGCATCCTGGACTTGGAGTGTGAACAGGCAGCCCCATCGTACCTGACGAGCCAAAAGGGAAAACTGGTAATCACAAATGTGCAAAAAGAGGAAAAAGAACGACGTGGGCCCGATTCGAACGGACGCTCCCGAAAGAACAAGATTTCAAGTCTTGCGCATTAGACCACTCTGCCACCACGCCCTGATTCGATGTCAGCGAGGGCACATGAGCAACCCAAGGAGCAGGAGCCGAGCACTTGTCGGGCAGGCTGGAGGTAAGATAGCTGAAAGGGAGATACCTCTGCTGCCAGAATCTTTCCTACGTAATGCAAGTACAGATCCAAAGCGGCTGGGATATCAAGCAGAAATTGACAGGAGCTACTTTCAGAGGTATCATCAACGATTTCCGGATTCGGCGTGACACGTCAGGCAAGCTTCATCACGACCGTAGCTGAGTAAAGGGGCCTTTGTCTGAGTATTAAAAGCAGGACATGCGAAATCAGGTGATGCTCAAAACATTCAGACTGACTTTCCTTCTATCCCGGAATTGAAAGGGCTGAACGAGAGAAGCATACAGCTCAGGTGAGCGTATTGAAAACGGAACATAGCCACATGAATCTAAGTACTGCTTCGTGGCAATCAGTGTTTGACCAAACAGCCAAAATCCCAGGCCAATTGCTCTGACTTCGTTTTGAGTACCAAGCAGAGACATACGATTCGATTGAGACGCTGTGAGGAGACTTGGGTGTGGGAAATTCGACGTGAATCCGTAGTTCTGGTCTCGTTTTACTGAAACCTTCTGTCTCGAAAGCGAAGGCGATTCCAAGTCGGAGTTTTTTGCTGGCAGAAACCTCTTCCCATGCGCCCTCACTTCTATGTACATTTGATACGATCGATTACCAAAGCTGAAGACGGCTGATCCAGGGCCACCGGAACACATGAGCGCTGAGTTCTTTGACAGGCAGTTGAAGCGTAAACTTCGCATCAAGTGGATGGAGGCAAAGCTTCACACCGCGGCGCAGAGAATTCTTGTTGCGTCTTCGACGGACTTCCATCTTTTGATCTGACTCTGAAGCAGTATGAATCCCAATTCAACGCCGCATACGAAGTTCATGGAGAAATCGTAGCGTGAACTCAATGCCCTGTAGAAGTGCAGGAGCGCTGCAACTAATCAAAATAAGAGACAATCGGACAGGACACAAAGTTATTTCCCTGCTACCGAATTCTAGGAAGGCATCCTCTAGTCACGGATTTGCTTCCAAGGTTCGCTCAAATGACAATAACTTCAACAGGGAAACATTCGAGGCACTGGACGGCAAAGCGTCCGAGACAAGGATCGTCAGTCTCAGGGCTCAGGGCTCAGGTCTTCTTATTCCATGTTCATTCCGCTGAACAAAGCACCAACTATGCCCTTTGATTGAGGTGCCAAGTCTCCACGAACATTCTCCCAGGAAACGCTACGGGGCCTTCCAGTGACACTGACTGCTACGTTCATGGTGATTAGTACTCGCATCAGGCCTCTGCCTTCAACTGTTCAAAATTTACCCACAACCTGTCACGCGACCACACGAACAAAATCATGATGAGTTTCTACCGCTGTTACCAAATATTCTGCCAGCATCTCGAGACGGGCGATAATCCCTGCCCTTCGCGGGGCTCCTCAGCAGGATCGTCATTCGAGTTCGTCGCTGTCAGGCTGCCAAGGCTACTTCGTGGCAGATTCTTTCGTGAGATCAATAATCTTCAGATCATGTCGCTTTCGGGCCTTTTCGTTCGGAAATTTGGTGGACATGGTTGACGGGCGCTTCTCGAAAGCTGTTCTGAGACTAGACGGAGTAAGGAAATACCCAATCTGGGGTTCTATTCGGCCAGTAAGAAATTCAAACACGCCGACATAGAGAATAATTTGCTGGATAGCTTTAAGACCACCGCATTTGCATGCGCTATGAGTTGTATAATAGGTAAAGAAGTAATGGTTCATTACGAGCCTCTGGCAAAATTAATGGCTTAAGTCAGTGCAATTCTACGAAGGAAGAGAAGTTCTTGGGGGGAAATGGGAGGGATCCATGAATGGCAACAATGAGCATTGGGGTATCAATGGTTTGGCTTGATGGGCAACCCAGAGAAGGACCAATATTATTTTGCAGTCAAAATGGAGAGCAGTCTGGATGGTTCCCGTCTAGTCTCTCTGGGAGAACCTGAGCTCGTGGACATCGTCTGTCGAACCGCATTGAGTTTGCGAGGCAGCCGCACATACTGTAAACAGTCGCATTAGGTTCTAAAGGATCCGGGTTATGAAGGAGCAAGCCATCCGGCCGATTTCGTCTCTTCTAAATGTTATTGCAAAGCTTTCACAGCCAGCGCCGCTGACAATGTGCCCCCCGTCCTCCCAGAAAGTGCCATCACAACCTGACCAAGCTAAGCCACCTCGATCTTTAGTGAGCAAGAGAAAAGCTCTACGTCCAAGGTGTCATAGCCACTGTGTCGTGTCCGTGTACAACTGACCGACACGTCAATCCATGACACCACACTAACCCACTGATCTGAGAATATCCCCACAGACTCAAATCGGTAAGCTCACCCCGGCGCTCTCCCTTTGCAACTTCGCAAACACAAGCTGGCATACGGACGCCCCTCAGCCCGATCCATCAGGTGACTTGTCCTGTTGTGTGTCTTCATCTGGCTGACTAAAGACCGCCTATTTTTCCTGTGCTATGTCGACTACTTTTCCTGTGGCTATTCTACTTTATCGTCGTACTTCAATATTCGTCGTCGCTTCAATAGTCGTTATCCTTTCTATTATTATCGTCTTTATCGTCTCCATCGTCGTTATTTTCGTCGTCGTCGTTTTCGTTATTATTATCGTCGTCTTCGTCGCTACTACTATCGTCTAGGATAGGAGTGATCAAGTACCCAGGAAATATAGCCGCGTAGACACAGAAAAAATAGGCGGTCTCCTGACTAATGTTCGGCATGACGATGCGCGTGGTGGTAGATGTGTCAAAGGGCGAGGTCCCAATCGACTCGATGTGAATGCCAAAGATCCCGCGACGATGGAAACACAGAACATTGGGCCCACGCCTGATTGCTTGAATGGTCGCCGAAGCTGAACAAGGGCCTTGTAGCAGATGGACAAGGATGAACACATGCACGGCACAAATGGTGATCTGCTCGATCATGAATTGGCACCAGTATCTCTGCGACATTGAAGAGATGGAGAGTTGCACGACCCTCGTCTCGAATACCACGAGCTAACTGCAATCAGTGCACATGTGTACACAAAGCTCTTGAAAATCTCAAACGTCACATCGTCAGCTCCAAGGAAGCTGAAGAGGTCCTGCAAGGTCTGTAGATTGATAAGAAGATAGTCTTGAGAATCATCGGGTTGCGGCATCATATCTCTTAACCTTTTCAGCCATCACCTGTTGTACGTTGTACAGGATAACTTAGTTCCCGTAAACGGTTTGCAGAACCTGGGAAAGAATTGGTTCACATCCGCGACATTCTTTTGATATTTTGATGGGTCAGGAGAGTCATAAGCCAGAGGGTATCTAAGTCGAGGGTCAGGAAGGGGCAGAGTGATGTTCACAACCGTCTTCCTTAGCGACATGGACTTGAGAGCTGCCCGGTTGAGCAACAATCGAGTCTGGTGAATGAGCGGTAGGCAAGATTGAATGTTTGTGAGTCACTGAATTCGTCCCTGCAAAGGAACGTCTGCATCAAGCCAATTTGCTATCGAAGATCTTCGCCATCCGTTGCGCGAAAAGAATCGATACCGACACGTTCTGCGAGCTTGTGACCTCTTCGTGGTGTATGTTGAGACATTCTGGCTTGCGCCTTTCGCGGGCGCCGTAGAAAGCATTTAACGAGCCTTTGGCCTGAAGTCTGGGCTGCGTCAGATCTAGGTACCCGCCCGGAAGCTCGCAGTTGGTGCGTCGAAAACGTTGGGATCGAGAATGGATAGGTTGTGTTTTGAGGCAGCAATCTGACTTTCTTTCCGGAGGACTTATAGGCACTCTCGTCGTCGGTATGCGATATCCGTCTTTTGTCAAGTAGGAACGGGAATTCTCTTCCATGTTGGACCTTTCTGTGTCGGTCGAAATCCTGGGTCGAGATTGTATGCAACTCGGGTGGGCCGCTGCGTTGGACGTAATAAAGGGCATTGGTGGCTGGCAGGCTGCGATGAAATTGTGTTGGAGACTCCAGGGCAGGTATCAGGAGTGTCGGCGGCAGGGACGAGAGCAAGAGCAGCACACTACCAAGATGGAGGATGGATCCGGCACGCGCACGCATTTGAAGATGGAGGAAAGTTGTCCAAAGTGCGTTGAGAGCAGCGTCTTTCGCGGACAGTAGGGCATGTCGGAGGAGCATGGGACTCGACGAGGGGGCTGGCGAGCAGTGGAAGCAGCGTGGGAAGCAGCAGTTGCGTCATCACGGCGAGGGCTCAAGACTACCGGAAGAGATGTCTGATGTCTTTTACCTTAAAAAGCTCCCGTGCCAGACTGATGGGTGTCGAGTAGTGAGTACTCGTCACCCACCCGAAAGCAAGGTCCCCAAACCTAGGTATGCATTATACTCCCGCTGCCGCCACCCCGAGTTTCAAGTCATCAAGGACGCTTAGAATCTCCTTCCTCCGTTTTTTCATCTCTGCCTCAAGACCCGACAGAAATCCCATTGTGAATTCCAATCCGTCCCTGATCTTTGTTCCTCTGCTCCTATTCGCAACTGATTCACTCTCAGCAGTATGCTGGCTCGACTGGCCGCCACCGGAGGCCGTAGTGATCTGAGAACGTATCTTCCGCAGTACTGTGAGAGTATCAGAACACTCGGCAATGAAACCTTCGGCGTCGTCGCGATGCTTTTCGAGTTTCTTTGCCCTGAGAGGGCCATAAGTAGCCCTTAGAGTGTTTTCATCCAATCTTCTTTCGGAGAACAACTCGTTCTCCCTGGCCCCATCATCGTTCTTGAAACCAAGGAGAAATGCCATAATCGACCGCCAGATATCCACCGAGATTTGGCGTGGCATGGGACATTGTGCGATAGCGTACATGCCGAAAGCAAAGACGCAGGCTGCGGAGTCATTCTTTCCGGTAGCATTACAGCAAGCACACTGTTGGAGAATCTTTCCAGAAACGGATTGCGAGTCTGCGAGGTATTTGTCTAGGAAGGCAGTTGTCACGTCTTTGGCCTCCCTGATCCGGA